CTCATGCCTCTCACACATGGAACAAAACGTGAAGTCGAAAAACACCAATTAAAAGCTCGAAATTCGACAAAATAAATAAAAAACAAGACTGCTCGTATCAGGGCGAAGCCCTGAATGTTCCGACTGCCTTTTAAGGTTTATGAAGCAGTAACAACAAAAAAAAATTCAATGAATAAAACAAAATGGAAAAAAAATTTTCTGAAACTTGAAAATTTTTATGACAATCATCCCCCACACGCCATATAAAGTGCAAAAGGATAGATTTCGCTCCTTGTAACAAACCAATTATGGCAAATAAGCTTCTTTTAGCCAATTTGGAACAATTTCTAAGACTGATTAACTCTCGCTTACGCGTTAATAGCGCGAAATGTATCGCGCGTTAATTGTCCCAAATTGACCAAAATGCCAATCTTTAAACCCCCATAACTTTACGAAAAATGATCACAGTAAAACATCTTTTCAAATTTGAGCTCAGGACAACAATACCTTTCGAATGATTCCGTCAAAAATGGCTAGTTAAAAAGTCTAAATTTGTCTGAAGAAAAAAAAAACCCACCCGAGCACAAATATTCCGTTACTTTCGTATCGAAAGTCGGAACAACAAGGATATTGGAAAGTCAATTAACAAAATTACAAGGTCTGGCCAGGGTGTTCTGTCTCAGAAAAAGTTTTAAATTTTGTATTTCGGTCGACGTAGTGTGAAAGTTTTAGTCTAGCAAATATGTCAGTAAATTGACTCAGCGACAGTTTTTATTGTTCCGACTTTTGATACGAAAGTAACGGAATATTTGTGCTCGGGGTGGGTTTTTTTTTCTTCAGACAAATTTCGACTTTTTAACTAGCCATTTCTGACCGAATTTTTTTATATCATTCGAAAGCTATTGTTGTCCCAAGCTTAAACTTGAAAAGATATTTCACCTCGGACCATTTGTCGTAAGGTTATGGGGGTTTAAAGATTGCCATTTTGGCCATTTTGGCCAATTTGGGACAATTAACGCGCGATAAATTTCGCGCTATTAACGCGTAAGCGAGATTTAATCCGTCCTATAAATCGTTCCAAATTGGTTGAACGAAGCTTATTTGCCACAATTGATTTGTTACGAGGAACGAAATCTCTCTTTTTGTACTTTATATGGATGGCGTGTGGGGGATGATTTTCATTAAAAATTTCAAATTTTAGAAAAAAAATTTCATTTTATTTTATTTCATTTAATTTTTTATATTATTACTGCTGCTCCCTAAACCCTAAAAGGCAGTCGGAACATTCAGGGCTTCGCCCTGATACGAGCAGTCTTGTTTCAATTAGGCTGCGTTTTGAAGCTAAAGTTGTCCTACATTATTCCCCTCACCCCAGAAAAAATGTACACAATTTCCAATTTAACACTTTTTCCGTTTTTTTTTTCCTACAAAGATGCTGTAGTCGAAACGTTGTGCTAAATGCAAAGCAAAGGTCGCTTTTTGTTACTCTCAACTGATAAGAGCTAGTCAAATCTATCTAGTCAAGCTAACGACAGTCAAACATTGAGTCTTTGAAATATTGTATTACAATAAAACTATTTGTAGGAACAATACAAAAATATAGTGGGGTTTGATAAGTGAAGTTTCAATTTAAGACGATCCGATTTGAGACATTTTGTTTGGTGTGAAAGGAAGAGAAAAATTTCGCTCGCTCGCTCGCATCCAATTTGATTGACAGATGGCAACAACTTTGATGAGGTGATGACTAAACTAGACCAGAGAGAGATTTGAACAGCTGCAGATTAGGATACGTGTATGAGTAAGGGTAGGGGGTGATGGTGACTGCGGATGTGGAAGAAGACGAAGGTGTTGGAAAGATGGAGGTTGAAACTGATGCTGATGACAACACTCCGTGTGAATTGAGTGTTTGTGCTGATGTATTTGGTGTCATTGGGTGACGATGAGAGGACACATTCTGTGCAGTTTGTCGACTCAAATGTTGGTTCAGTGAAGAGTAAGGAGTCAATTTACTAAACATATGGTGCGCTTGCTGGTCGCTTGGATTCCTGCCTAAATGACCATGTCCTCCGAGGACTAGTGGGTTCCCTGGATGGGCAAACGGGGTGCCGCCTGAATTGAACAAGTTTGAGGCGAGAACTGAGTGTGGCTCCTTCTGACTGTGGTGGTTTGTCGTTAGATAAGAAGTGAACGATTGGTTGAATGCGTGCGGGTGCATGCTGTTCGGAATAGACGTCGTTCCTAGGCTGTTAAGAAGTGCTGCATTCACATTCGGGGGCGGAATCGTGCCAGCTGAAATGTTTCCAGCCGCCATTTCGAAACCAGTTTTGATCTGCCGTTTCAGTTTGTTTCTTCTGTTCTGGAACCAAATCTTAATCTGCTGCTCCGATAAGGTCAAATCACGTGCCAGTGTTGCTCGTTCAGAACTGGAAAGGTACCTTTTGAGGTCAAACATGTTTTCCAACTGGCAGACTTGCGTTCGCGAGAAAACAGTTCTTGTCTTTTTCTTCCGCCCGTTTCCCTCCCCCTCCCCTTCCCCCTCCCCCTCCCCCTCACCGTCTTCATAATCATCATCCATGTCTTCATAGTCCCCCTCCGAATCAGACGAGAGGACAGAGTCCCCGGCCGAATTGAGTCTCGTTGGCGTGCTTTTCAGAGATCTCCCTTTCAAACATGTCTCTCTCTCAATCGTGGCAATCTTCTCCTCTTTCTCCGGCGGAATTGTTTCTAAAACTGCCGACAAGTGGTCTTTCTTGGCTTCTTTTACTTCTTCTGATCCTGTTTTTGGATCGTTTAGGGGGCAAATTATGCTCAAGGGGTCAGTTGTTGCACTGGTGGCATTGAACAAATATGAGGACAAATGATTGACACTTTGCACCACGGGGGGAAGAGGAAGCGGCGGAGGAAGTGGTGACATTTGGAGGCACTCTGAACTGGGGCTTGAAGTGACCAGGGTTGATGGTGCCAGACTTCTGACTGGAATCAGTAGATTGTTGTGGCCTCCCTTCTGGATCCCTCTGTCGTTTGATGCCTTAGCAGTTTTAATGGGGGTGCAGTTGCCAGCATTGATGGTGTTCCAAGCATCGCTAGCCGTCCCTTCTAAAAGTCCCGATTCGAGGGGTTGTGATTCACTACCCAGTGAACTGCTTCTACTACTGTCTATTTTTGTTTCTCTCTTGTCCGTTTCAACTTCTTTGAGCACTTGTGGGGCGTGACTGTCATTGGTATCAACTAACAAAAACAGGCTAAATTATTTCGATGCAAGTTTCATTTAAAAAATTGTTATAACTTAGCACATATCAAGGTTATCTGTTTTTGTCAACAATTATATAGGTGACCTTCGGTTATTCTTTTCAAAAATTGAATTCTTTATCCTGTGGGCTTAAGCTGTTTTCTACTGATTGGTTTTTTATGAATCCTCTCTTTTATCTTTTATGAATCCTCTCTCATTTTTCAACTATATGGGCTATTGAATCCATTTTTTTTGCAGTAGGCAGCAAACATTCTGATAATATAATTCATTAAGTCCGTTTGGTCTGTTCATGCATGTTTTTGCATATACCATCAGAAATATATCATCAGAATGCTGCCTATTGCAAAAAGAATGGGTTCAATTTCAATAGCCTAAATATTTGCGAAATCAGGGATCAAAAGCGTGTTTAGGGGGGAGGATGTTGACTTGGTCCGAAATCAGAGACAATTACAAAAAAAATTTGTTTTGAAAACACTGTAATAATTATAAACTGTTTTTAAAACATATCTGACATTTCATCACTTTTTATGTCACTCTTTTATAAAACGCAAACCATTTTGGTAGATCGCCGTTAGACACTAATTGTATATTTTCAGGTGTCTGGCATTTCTTTAGATATGCACTTAACACGATAGCCGAAATTTGAGAAGTGCAAAGTGAAGATGCTCACTTTTGAGTGGCAGAGTCTTCTTCTGGTCCTCGGAGTCTTCTGCTGCTTCAGAGGATGACAACTGTAGTCCATTGCAGTTTGTTGCAGGTTCCGAAGCTACCGTGTGCGGATGTAGTTTCACTGGTTGTTCACTGGAATTACGAATCCTGGGAGGATCCTTGCCGACGATGCCATTCGTATGCTGCGCTTCTTTAAAACAACTGGGAGGAATGCTGTTCTGGTTGCTAGACTGGAGGATACTGGCAATCGAAAACGCAGAAAATTTCCGGCCGCCAAAATCACTTCTCCTTTCTGATTTTGCCATGTTTGAAAGTTGCGAGTTAACGAGAACTCAAAGTTGGATTGGTTTTCTCGCAAATAACGGGAAACTTAATGCAACTTAATAGAAAAAAGCAGCTGATTTTATGTGGCAGTAAGCAATGAGGTCTATAAACTGATGTAATTTGATCCCGAGTCCTGATGAAGGTGGAAAGTTTCCTGGCGACTATATTTAAGACTAATTGAATGGCTGTGATTATGAGTTAATTATCGGTGGTGTGTTCTAACAGTGAATGCTTTCAGAAGTATACTTGAGGATAAATCGATCGAGCGGGTAAAACCAACAAAATAATATCTGTACAGTTTGTGTATCTGATTCAGTTTTTCGATGTTGTTTTTGCTAGTTGCTTTGTTTATTTACTTAAGGTACTCTACTCTCGAGGAGTTGTTTTTTGACGAGATGTTTATTTAGAGACGTCAATCTAATTAGCCAGTTAGAGAAGATTAAATCGGACCAGTGTTTATTTTGTAAGCAGCACGACCAGGTGTACTGGACAGGCTGGCGACTGCGGCTGTTGTGATTGGCTCTCTGCATTAGCCAATTAGCCAATAGCGTCTCAGAACAGTCGCCTGCGGTCTCTGCTTTGCTGTGTCGTCTGTGCTGCTGTATGCTATTCGCTGCAGATGTGACTTACTTACTTCTGTTCTGAGCTTCGAAGCTTTTTCGATAACATCTCTCTATTTTTGTGCTGTTCTGTTTTGTCTTGATTACTCTAACCCAATCAGCAGACTAAAGTAGCCAGACAACTCGGAGTCTGGTCGGCATCGCTCGATCTAACACTTATTCTCCATTCACATCTAAATGTACAGATAAACATAAATATCTCTTATACATTAATCAACAAAGACAAGTTGATTACTGCTGGCTACTAAGTCGAGCAGCATAATAAGCAGAGTAGCTACTAATTTAGTTGCTTTTAAAAAGTTATAACTTTGTTATTAGTAGATACTTACTTATTGGAGAGCTAATCAAAAGACTAGACAACAAAGTAGGCTCCAAATCAACTGCCACTCGTCCACAACAAGTATAATTTGCCATTTTGACCCAATACAAATACACCACACACTCCGATCCAAATCAAAACCACTCTCTTTTTATCGCTTAATTCCGACTTAATTTTCATTTCCACTCCGCCGCCGCCGCCGCCGCCGTCGTCGTCCGCCAGTAGTCCCCCGTCCCCCCTCTCTCTCTCCGTCCGCCTGTCCCGCCATGCCACACACTTCCAGACATCAGGCCTGGCCGGCCGCCTCTTCATCAACACTGCACTGCCAAAGTATCTGGAACAAACAAAACAAATTAGCCAGCAAATTGTCCAATTATTGCATTATGTAATTTAATATACATTATCATAGTAATATTTTAAGAAAAAAAGCTGGTTCAAAGACAAAGTATTTTTTTTCTGAAAAAATAATTTGAAAAAAAGTAGCAGTTGCATTTTTTTGGAGTTTTATAGGAAGCATTGTTAGTTTAACTGTCAGACATTATGCCATTTGTTCTAAATTTCAGGCATTTTTTGCGGAGTTCACACTCCTGAAATACAGGAGTTCACACTGCTGTATATCGTGCTTGAATAGAGAGAGCCATGGTTGCATGTGCTGCTCCTGCCTAAAACTTCATTTCTCCTGTTTCCGAATTGTGTTAATTACAGCTGCCGTTTTCATGGTGATTGAGAAAACTATGCAAACGTCAACTCTATTTAGTTTTCAATGCAGTGGCGGATTAACGCGCTTTGCGAGCGATGTGAGAGAGTTGCCGGAGACGGAGGGGTGATGTTCGGGGGGGGGGGGGGAATGAAAAAAAAACTAACGATGACCTAGTCAGCTCTCAATTTTTTGAATTTTTGCTTTCTTCGTATTCGCCGCAAATTTATTCATCATAGTACCGAAAAAGCAATTAATTTTTTAAAAACTATTCGTCGTCGGAGTAAACGATGTGAGCGAGGAATCTGAGGAATCTTTGATGGTAAGGGCATCTGCAAAACGCCCTTTCCCGAAGAGGGTTTCGTTTTTTTATGCGCACGTTGGGGAATTTTCTACTGCGGCGTTTGTATTTCGCGCTAGCATCCCAAACGCTGCTCGCAGGGAATGGAATGGAATGGAATGGAGTGTGGCGATAGTGAACTTAGATGGAGAAGGCGGGTGCGAGGGCGAGGGCAGACTCCAATCTCTTTTGACTATCTATAAAAGTTGTTTCAGGACTACTTGATCAAGGACAAATGGACTATGCCAACTTGCCCTACTCTAATTTGCCTCAAATGAAAACTTTTCCTATGGTAACTTACCCAGCATGACACCTTGTCGTATGCCTTTTTGGCCTACAATTGACACTTCTAGTGCGTTTTTTTAAATGCTCAAAGAAAATTTTTTTCCAGATATAATTATTTCGGTTTTTCGACAGAGCTCGAAAAATAAAAAAGTCTACAAAATTTTAAAAAACAACCTTTTCAAAAAAGTTTGCGCAGGCCACCGCGAGCGTGCAGTATTTGTTTTGACTAAGGTAACATCCTCCCTCTATCTAGACCAAAAGTTCAGAACTTCCTCTGCAATATTTTATTTTAAAAAGTGCTCAGCGCTGGGAGATAATTGCTCGCTTCTGATTGGGTAAAAATTCTAGCTTAGAACCAATTTGACATGGTCCCCTTTAACACTTTAGGGGGAAGATGTTAAACTGATGCGTTCGTCTTCACTGGCTATTAATCGCGCACACTCTTAGCTCTTCAGAGGACTCCTTTCAGCCAAACCTTTTAGTCTTCTTGATGTTGTGTTGCAGACTGGATCTAGAATCTCTTGCAGTGAATTGCACTCTCAAACAATATTGAAAATGCCATCGATTTTTAGTTTAATCTACCAAATCATGTTTTCCAGCTTTGCCAAATCGTTTATTTCAGCATCAATTTGTGCGACCCAGAAAAACTTGGGACGAAAACTAAAAAATCAAAAACCACATTTTTGAGAGGCTATGGACAGAAAAATGGGTTGATTTTCCGTCGCGCGGCGCTGTTCCATCAAAAAAATTATACTTTGTAGCCAAAAGCGAATTTAGAAGCATTTTAGGGTTGTTGGGCCAAAAATTGACGTCGTAAAGTAATAAAATAATGGTAACGGCGAGCGGTTGGGTGACGAGTCCCGTCTCTCCCCTGCTGTCCAGTCGAACGCTCAGCCACCCCCCCCCCCCACCCTATCCTAAAGAATAAACTGTTGCTTTTAAGCAGAATCCTTGAATTCAGTCATTTTTTAAGACAAGATATGTATTTGTTGTTTTTGTACAAGTTCATTTATATTATTCTCTGTTTTCTCAGGCGAGGAGGGTGATTTCTTTGAAGGACACTTAACTGTGGGCTGAGGGGGATTAAGTGGGCAATTAGGGTGCAATTAGACAGCTAAGTGGGGAGGGGACTGATGGCGCCACACTTGAGAGCTACTCTTAAAACAACACAAGGACGAATCAATTCTAGACAATGATGCAATATCAATTAATGCACCTTCTAATTAGTCACTCAATATCAATATATAAACTTTGCCCGGCACAGAAAATTTAGAAGCACAACTTCCCCCTTTCGGTACCCAGAAACGAACTGGCACACCTACAAGAACTAAACCAACGGCTCAGCATATGTGAATTTTGTACCCAGTAACGAATCTCTCCCCCCCCCCCCACCCCTTGAAAAAGAGGGAGTAGTTAAAGAGATCCAGCACAAAAGTAAATAATTGAAAGGTGTACTAAAGTTTATAAAAATCAAATGAAATAGTTAAGTATCTGCATATAATTTGTTCGTACAAAGTTCAAGAAGGCCGAAATTTAAAAAAAAAAGAGCTCAAGATTGCTGCATTTTTTAGCAAATGGACTCGAACAAGAGTTAAAGCAAAAATTGAGTAATTTTATTCGAGTCAGGGACAGAAAATGATTAAACAAATCCATAGAGAGTCAATTTTCGGCCATCATAAACACTTTTTTGGTCCTCTTTTATTAAACACTCTTGAACCTTAGAAAGCAAATGTGACATCTAATGGCCCTTGATATCATATTTGCCATCCTATTCTTCCCTCTTTTTCTTCTCGCCTGCCCATCTCTCCCTCATCTGAGACTGTGGAAGACAATCAGTCGGCTCTCACTCAATTGCCGTCCACTAATATAAAAGCCAGCTAGTCAGATTAGATAAAAAGTTAAATAAATGCACATTAGTAATTGCAGGTGGCGCCAACAACAACCCTCATCCTTTATCACATCCAAGAATCACCACAGATTATATCGCTCCAATTCATCCATCTGTCAAATTGCTTCTCCTATTTGGCGATGTTTATTCTAATGATTCACAAAATAACTTACACCTTTTTAAATACTCATTTTCATGATAATTCCTGCTCACCGCCCATCAAAAAAAAGTTTTATTGAAAAATATCAGCCAACATTAAAAAAATTAACAAAAGAGGGGCCATCACGAATTTGTTAAATATTTTAAAACTAAAAATGGCTTTGGTTTTTGGTTTTTGTACGAAATTGCATGTTCTAACGGATGGAAAACTTAATTGCTGCAGGAATGAAATTGATACGGGGTTCAACCTTCATCGCGTGTTTTTAACAAAAGTTTACAGGAAGAAAATGCGATTTGGGCTCAAAAGGTAAGATATCTACAAGAGACAAAAGCGGAATGGAGGTTGTGGGAACTGTACGTCTCATTATCCTCATTATCATTTCACAGTTCAGATCTTTCAGCCAGATTCAATAAAAGGCTCATAATCTGTAGTGGATCGGTCTCCAAAACCTACAATATGACCATGAATTAATCTCGTCCATTTTACAACCACTGTTTCATGGCGCATAGAGAATTAAAAAAAGACTAAAGATGGTTTATTCACAAAGGATAGGACCAACATGTAGAATTGGTGATTCTACTGTATTACATGCTATAGTAAAATTGATTCGTCATTAAGTAAGTAGAACAGCAAACAAAGGGTAAAGTTCGAAATAGTTCAATCTTCGAAGATATCGTCCCTTCTATGCCAGAAAACAAAATTTGATAAAATCGGCGAACCCCCCCCCCCTCAAAAAATCGGAACTAAGAAAGTTAATGTTATGAAATTCAGAGGAGCGATACTAGAGATGATTTGACCAGGGCATACAAAAAACGGGACCCCTCAGACCCATGGGGGCAAGTGATAACGGTCCCCGGAAGTGTAAATGGCCCTATCAGAACTCGGAAACTAGCGGCGGTATTGGGTTCAAAATCTAGTATGTTGAAGACCTAGTTAAGACAAGCTTAAGTTTGGTACCCCAGACCCCTAAGACCCCCACTTCCGGTCTTATGCCCTAATAAACAAACCCACACCTAACTTCCAGAAGTCGTTTCTCGGCCACCGATGAGCGCAGGGAGGGGCGCTGAAACTTGGAGGGGTGATAGTTAGTGGCAAGATACATCTTGTATTATAATTTGTATCAAATCCGGTGGTTGGACCGGAAGCTAATAACACTTGGAAAAACACCCCCTTAGACCGGAAATAGGCAATTTACGCGAAATGATGAACGGTGGCATAAGGATTTTATTGCGGTAATGGACATAAGATACGGACCCCGAAAAAAGACCCCTTGTGAGTGAAAACCCTCCGGCGAATCCTTCCGGTGTTAATGGTATAACTTAGAAATGGTATAACTTGTTAAGTATTATTGGTATATGAATGGAACTTGGTAGTTAGGACCCATATGGAAACTTGAACCCAAATATGGAAATTTGACCCCGGTTGACCCCTGGATGACCTTAAGTTGACCTTTGGGCTTTTGACCCCAAAATTGCATGGAAAGTCCCAAAATTAACACCGGAAACTGGTGTATTTCCCAGCCCAACCTGGAAATGAGAATGGGCCACCTTGCTAAAAAATTGGGAGGAAAACGTATATATTGGGAATAAGAGCAGAAGCAGATAGAGATACAGACTTACATTGCAACCTAGGAGTAGTTGATTTAATTCAAAATTGACTTTGTAAACATTGGGTTCAGTTTAGCTCGGCGAATGATCTATTGATAGCAATTCAACTATACTAAAAAAAATTAGTCCCAGAGCAATCTGATAGT